CACGAGGACTCGGCGACGGGTATTCCAGAGGGTGGAGTCGGGGTGCAGGGGCGCGGTAGGATACGAGGTGGGGCGAGATGGGGTGAAGAGCGCGGCGGGACGGGGTGAGGAAGGGGAGATGGCCGACCACGCGCGATCAATATACCAAAATACGCCGGCAACTCGCGCGCCGCACATGCATACGTGTACGCGTGCGCGCGCGCGCGCACGCGTTCACGTACATCCTCCGAACTCTGTCAATATATGCTCTCCACGTATGCAAATTGTAAATATAATCTAAGCGGGCTCGTGTATATTCGCGACTGTACGGGTATGTGTGCACGTACGAATTGTAAATGTAACATCACGCTCGCGAGCGCGCACATGTTACATATCCGAGATATCTGACGGGTACATTTTCCAACTCTAGGATCTCCGTAAAGAAACTTGAGACAAGGCCTCGTTATGGATAATGCAAATTCGAAATCGATACAGCACGATTCTATGTAATACTCGTCTACGAAAAAGGATTGTATATAAATAAAAAATTGTATACTTTTATCGCGATAGAAAATAAAGTAAAAAATTGGCATAAAATAATAAATGGCAATACGAGTTCAGTGTTATTAGTACATCGAAAATTTGGATATTTTTGTTGTTACTCTATTTTCTTATTATTTTATGATAAAGTGAGAAAAGATACTGACAAAAAATCAACTACACATTTCAATTGTAAACTGTGTCAATTGTGAATTTTATCTCGCGGACAAAATATCGAAGTGTATGTGTGTCATTAAAATGTATTACTCATCAAAATGTATGTTCGTCAAAAAGTCTTTATCACAATAGAATATTCCATAATAATTCATCTATAGAATCTATACAATTGTTCCCGGAAGTCGATTTAAATTCTGACGTGCACCGCGTCTGTACAATTTTAACAAAGCGCGAGAACTTTGTGCAAAGAGTCAATAGTTCGACCGCGTCAATAGTCCTATCGTCTCGCAGTCTTGGCCTAAACGTTCTTCCAGCGATCTTAAATATAAACATCGAGCGATCTTAAATATAAACATCGAGCGACACGCTGCTGTGAGTAGCCATTTGCAAATATGCACGCGTAATAGAAACAAACGGTCGGTTTCATTCATGAAGTTTCAGTCGAAGCCGCGTACGACCAACGATGGCGAGCGACCGGAGGAGGTTCGAGGTCAGCATTTCCCCTTCCCCCCATGACGATAATTTTAAAGGAAGATAAGGAGATATCGTCTTTCGTCTATATGTATATTAAGCCGATATTAGCTGAGGTCAGCAGCACGATAGACGCTTTAGTCATTTCAAGGAGATGAACAAAGTCATGTATGAGACATGGATTATGAGATTGTATGGAAAATACTAGGCTGCAGAAATCTATCAATTGAAACTGTCGATCAATCAAGGTGATGGTAAAGCATTTTCCGGTAGATTGAAGCTATCATTCTCGAGGGTGTTCCCTCGCGATCTCTCAAATTTCGTCTCGTTAGAGTCTACGTTTAGAGTCTAAAATTCGTGACGATGCTACGCCATTGTACGAGCGAAGAGCATTCGCCAGCTGGCACACGAAGTGTGTAGCGCCGCTGGCGATGCGAACGTTTACCACCGCGTGTTTCGAGGGGAGAAATTTATAGCCGGGACGATCGCGGGGCTAGTGTCCGTACTGAAAACATAAAGGAGAATTCGCGGGCAACTCGCGAACCTCTACCAATTTCTCCGACGATCATTGTCATCCTACACACACGGAGGGTCAAGGGAAAATGTACATTTTATAAGCTCGCTTTCTCGTTTCACGTATGCTCACGTGGTCCACGTAGATGTACAGACGAGAGCAACAACAGAAATAATAAATGAAGATAGATAATAAACGAGATTTTTTACGTGGAACCAGAAAAAAAAATACTTGACTCGACAAATATTTGCATGAACGTTTTAAGCGTAAATACCGTATAAAGTAGAACATTATGTTGAAATCTGACGACACGTGAAGAATACGCTGAGTCGTTAGATTGCCAATTATAGAATTTGTCCGAGTATATGAATTTTACATTTAAAAAAATTTAAATATAAAATAAGACGGTTATATATATGTATAAATGTGTATATGTGTGTATAGATTCATCCTGTGTGCGTACTGTTTATTAAAAACAATATTCTATATTAAATACACACACACACACTATATACGATATAATTGTAATATAATATAATTAAAAAGTAGTTTAGTATATTCGTATTTTGTTAATCTTGTATCCCTAAATTGAGAGTCCCTGGACTTCGTCACCGTTACTTCTTTCTTATTCCGATACGAATTTAAGTAATTTCTTTTTATCTTCGCGTGTATAAATTATCTAATTATTTTCGAATCTGGGACAAATTTAAAGTCTCTGAATTTATCCGAAAAATATTTTATAGAAGACCTAACGTTATTATTATATGTAGAATATAATTAAACGTCAATAAGGAATAAATTAAAATTATATAAAAATAGAACATATATATATATATATATATATACACTTTTCTTCTATTTTTATACAGAATAACATCACAGTGTATTTTGGTAAAACAGATAAATATAAAACTGTCTTATGGCGTTACTACATGTTTCTTTTTATATCAACGCTAAGCATTAAATTAACATACGCATATATAGTTTAAAACATTAATAAAAATTACTGTCTGTATCTTTACAAATTGGCAAGCAGCCACTGTGTAAATTTGTTTCATCTGCAAGATGCATTAAAAAGGCAATTCAAGAAAACTCCAAAAATGTGCGAGTCTTTCACAATCTTCGGTTAATAAATTTATAGAGACGTTGATGAAGCACATGTAGAAGCTATTACAAAAACTAAACTTTTGAATTGGCGTATGCACATTTTACATTCTATATCCCCGATTTGAGCGTCACTGGAGGACAATGATTCCGCTACAAGCGCGAGAGCCAAGTAATGTCATCGATCTTGCAGACCATACATCTAAACTTTTTAGTTTACAAAGCATATATTTAATTCGCGCGCTCGTCCTATCTGCTTCGCTTTGTCATTTAATTTCCACAATTATCGTTAAAGCGCAAATTCGCTCTCCCTTCCAAATTACGCGATACGCGAGAGAGATTAATTTTGCGTTTAGCATAATCGGACGTGGATAGATGTAAAAGTCGTCGGTCAATTACGCGAATCGCTCTGCTCTCTCTCTCAAAAGCCGCAATCCGCGGAAGAGAGGATCGACGAAGGAAAGACGCGGAGCCGACGTTTGAGCGTCACTGTCGAACAATAACTTGGTGCTGCTGCGAGCTCTCAAAATGGCTGTCCTCAGCTATTATTACTTCGGAGAAAAAACAAATGACGACGCGCTCACGCTACGCGAGGAGGAGAGAGAGGAGAGGAGAGGAGAGGAGAGACAGAGAGAGCCAAGGCCCTCGTATAACGTATCTTGGTGCGCACGCGATTGTATGGGTACGCGATATATACGTGTGTACGTATACGCAGCCGACGTTTCTCTCTTTCTCTCTCTCTCTCTCTCTTCCTTCTCGTATCCTCGCTCGCTACGGACCGTACCGAAAACATCGGAACACCTTACGTGTTTCCTGAAACTCGCTTTATCGAAGCGATAACGTCGGTTTGCGAAAACAAAAACAAGCCAGTAAATAATGCGACGATCGTGCAACTTTTCCCTCTTTTTCTCCGTATATATATATATATATATATATATATATATATATATATATATATAATAATGTGTGTTTATAACGTCACGTTTATATACCCATGTACCTATAAATATCTGTAAACGCGCGCGATAAAGACTCGAAAAGATATCGATTTTGCGAGACAACATTCCCAAAATTCTAGACGAAACTATGAGAAAGCGTCGAAGAATGAAAAGGAAAAGGAATCTATAGATTTGTCCTTTTTCCGACTTTTAAAGTGTTTCGTTTTTTTTAAGATTTATTTCCTTCAGGAAAAATAAATGGATGGGTCTACGAATGACAAATGAAACATTGCAAGGTCGTCCCTTTTACTCGTATTTAGGATATCTCTTTTCTCCAAAAAAAAAGTGATTTTTCTTGAACCTTTCCACACGCTGAAATATACACCTGACTTTATATTTATTATAATCGTGAGACATACATTTTCTTTTCTATTCATTAAATATTTCAAAAATTTACTTTCTAAACTTTCGAGACAAAATAGAATATATTCTATTCAATTCTAGAGAAATCGATCGATATCTTTTGTATAGGAAAAATTTATAATAATAATGAATTATCGACATTAATCATATTTTAAACGTTCCAGAAAATTTTGACACGTCATATGGATCGTATGTTAGAAATGTTAATTCATAGTATTTATCGTATTAAAAATTTGTTTTGGAAATTGAAATAAAATATAAATATAAATATAAGGAATGGGATTAATTTCATAATTAAATTTATGACACAAGTATAATAAATATAATGATTTTTTTAAGAATGTCTCACGTAAAGGGATCGGATGCACGCAATATTATTTCGTTATCTATATTATATATTATAGTTTTTATCAAAATATACAGATTCTGGGAACGCGAAAGGAGAAATCTATTTTTAAATTATAATTGCGTTAATTGCTTTTTATATTAGTAAATATATATAACATACTATATATCACAGGTTTTATCAAAGTATACAGATTCCGGGAACGTGAAAGGAGAAATCTATTTTTAAATTATAATTGCTCGAATTAATTGCCTTTTATGTAAAAATCTTCAAATCTTTGCAATGTTTTTAAATAGAACCGGCAAGACTGTGGCAAAGATCGTATATAAACGCGATCGAAATCGGATCCGGGAAACACGGAGCGCGGTTGACGAGCGATAGACTTAAAGCTGGAACGCACACGTCGCGTGGATCGAACGAAAGGTAAGGTTTAAGCGACTCTGCAAATACTACACAATGCCCGGATATTACAAGAAACAGTTTCTTTGGTCGTAAAAAAAAAACTTACCGTTTGAAATGCTCCCTGATGCGATCCTCTCGGATGTTTTCCGGCAGATTTCCAACCCACAGGTAACGTGTCTCTCTAACCATTTTGCTCCGAACTCTTCATTTGGGATCGGATGTTGTGGTATCGTTTGGAGGCACTGTACAACGACACACAACCTCGACCGGAACAATAATTCACCGTACACTTCACCGACACACAAGACGCGCTATTTTTCGGTCGATTAAAGCAGGCTGGCTCTCTCTCTCTCCCCTTCTCCTCAGCCTCTCTTCACGTTCGAATCTAGCCTCCTCGGCTCCTGTCTTCGCTCGATCTCCACCGACGGAGATGCGCGTCCCGCACTCGCAACGCGATCACTCGCGGCCGCGAAACGAGAAGGAAAAGAAAGACGAACGATTTTTGACGAGCACTAGTCACTAGCCGGCAAAGAGACGAGGCCGGCAGGGGCAGGCGTCGAGGACGCGACACGTCGAGGGAGCGATCGCACGTGCGTGCGTGGACACGGCAACGACGGCGATCACCGAGACGACGGCGACGACGGCGACGTGGCCCTCGAGATGAAAACTCTGCGCCGCGACGCGCTCCGACGCCGACGTAGAAAAGGCGGAGGAAGAGGAGCCTCGATAGCAGACACCGCTGACGATTACGACTGCGAGGATCGGTATCGTCGCCGAAGAACACCACATCGTATATCACTGAATCCGCGTGAGACGGGGATTATTGTCGCGGCCGCCGCCTCCCTTTCAATCACACGTCACACCACGAGGAGAGGAGCACCCCCCGGCCATTCGACGCGCGCGGGACCAACTCATCCCGGCGTGGCATAATAAATTCCCGTCGACGTTGTCAACACGCGCGCTTCGCTCGAGCCTCGCGCGTGGAGCGGCACGACACGGCACGGCACGACACGGCACGGCACAGCACGGCAGACACGGCACGATCACACGACACGACGATATGGCACAGTGCAAACACCCGCGCGCGACAATTCTCTCTCCGCGAGAGCCTCGATCGCTCGCGCCAACGAGCGTGTGTGTTGCCCACTGTTGATAACGCGAATCAATTCGAACACGTTTCTTCTTTCTCTCTCTCTCTCTCTTTCTCTTTTTTTTTTTACCGCTTTACTCGCGTGACCTTCCGCGCACGAAACGACGACACTCTTTTAGCGTACACATATACACGCCTCTCTCTATACGTGCATGTATCTAGACGATACACGCACGTACACACGTGTAGGCGACACGCATCGAGAGCATATATACATAGCCTGTGCTTCTCGGAATACGTATTCACACTTGATTACTTTCTCCTTTTTTTTTTCACAACACTAGCCCTCTCGAGTCACACATATATTTCTAGACATACCGATATTCCGATACGTAAATTTCACCACTTGTGTCGCGCCTCGTCTCCGACCGACGACAAGAGATCGGGCGGATCGTTAGGTAGACGCGAGAGCGAGACGCGCGCGAACGCAACGAGAAGTTAGCCGCGAGTCTCGACGGCGTAAAACTCCCGTTGTCGCACGAACGTATGCGCGCGAATATGCGCGGCGATACCGAGACCGCGACGTCCGCTCGGGCACATTGATAATACTCGCGCGAAATGACGACTCGCGATATAGAGGCGCGCGTTCTAAAACACACTCGCTAGTTACATACGGGCCATGTAACGCAGACGGAGCTGGGTTTTGGCTCCTTCTCACTGCACTACACTACTCAGAGTGACGTCACCGTGGCGGGAGAGTAGCGAGGCTCGCTGGCTAGCATCACTGTCCTGCCGCCTGGTGGGGGAACCGAGTAGGGGAGCGGAACGAGTCTACATAGAGCGGCTCGTAATCGCGATCGTCGCCCGCCAGGCCGAGCGCCGGGTGGGGGTAGAGGCGAGGGAAGGGAGAAACATGGCGGGCGCGCGCGCGCGGGCCGCGGAGTGGGGGGGAGTCTCTTTCGAATCGAAGCAAGGACAGGGGTGGAAAGGACTCGAGACTCCGTCGGAGAGAAGGGATAACGGGTCGAACGAGCTAACCCGAACCCCCGAGCCGCGCCTGTCCCTTTCGTCCCCTATCCCCTGCTCTCGCTCGATCATCGTATTCCTTCTCTCTCCGTCTCTCTCGCGTTTGCCCTTCCTCCTTTCTTTTCCTCGCCGCTCCTACTCCACAGCTAAGTTACCCGTCCTCTTCCTCTTGTACTTCCACTACCACCGTCGAGTCGAATCCAATCCGCCATCTTTGTTGAGCGCTTTCCGCACCTTTCTCCCTCTCTCTCTCTCTCTCTCTTTTTCTCTTCCCTTCCCTTTCCTCTCCCCCTCGCTTCCCTATCCTTCGTCCCGTCCCGCTCGCTCTCTCTTTCTTGCTTCAGGGCCGGTTTAGGGGCAGCCAATTACCCGGGGCATCGGTACTTTCTATCCGAGAATAAAGACGGACAATCGGATTATTACGAAAATAAAAGTACTTAACTCCGTGACGTTCCCTCTAATCAAGGAAGTAACGATCAAACAAACGTGCCAGACTGATAGCGCGTACGAATTAATGAGGCGTGCGCATGGATAAGCGTTTTCCGCGTAAACGACTCGATCCCGACGAAGACTCTCTTATTCCGAAATTTTCCGTTATTCCAAATGACTTTTGAAATGTGAGTGACTTTCGAAACGAAACCGCCACGAATATTTATACGCTCGGTGATAATATCGCGCTTCGAGGCGTCAGATTCTTTAATTCTTAACGAGCCTCGTTTTGTAATCATTTCTAAAATCTTTTCGCGTACAAATTTACGAGTTTTATATTTTGTCGTCATATACGATTTTCTAAAAAACCTCTGAAAGATGAAATACTTCTTTTGTCGTAAAGAATTGTATCATGAGTGTAAACATAAAAAAAAATTTTATCTCAAATTAACCTAATATTATTTATACATCTATATATATATATATTTTTTTTTTTTATATATATTTATTACAGACATATCTTTATATATACATCTAGATAATGAATCCTCCAAACGTGTTCGCGTACAAACTATAGGTGGATGGAAGCGAATGACTATTGGATCGTTACCGCGTATCGATTTTTCGATTACTCTAATTCCACTTGGGTATAGGGACGCCTTTCGTCGGGACCTATCGCGCGGAAGCTCCTCGGGATAAAAGCGTGCGTATAATTCGTATCGTGCGTAACGACGATTCGTCGTTGGGGGTGAAGGACGCGCTAGCTGCGTGCCTGCGCACAATCGCCATCTTGTCCTCGCCGAGATCGTGTCCGGACGGACACCGTTGTTACATGCGTACATGCATACATACGTCCAACGCTCGCGCGAATACGTCGCTCTCCTCTCCGGCCGTCGTCGTGTACGTTCCACGTCGCATGTCGCGCGTTACGCGACGTCGGGCCCGCGACGACAGTAACGTCCGCTCGCGCGCTCGACCGCGGGACGTTGCACGGCCGGAGAGAAAGCGATTTCCGTTCCGCGGCTCTACCTCGTCCGAAAACGGACGCGTACTGTCTCCGTTGTTGGGAGCGCCGGTGGTCTCGTATCGTTCGCGATCGTATGGTTCGTGTCGATTCCCGCGCGAGTGAAAATGCATTTCGCCTATTTCTCTCTTCCTCCCCCTCGACGTACTTTTTTATTTGTCTGACTGTCAATCGATTTTAATTTCGGACATTTCCCGATTTGCTCGTAAATTGAATACGGATGCGCGTAGAAACGATCCCTACTTTTCCCTCCGATGTATGTTACGAGTATAAAAAATGTCAGATTTTTTCGCAGGATGTTTTATCATGAATGCCACGAATACTGCGCTGATAATGCAACGAAGTTCCCGCAGTTCGTTTCATTTTTGTCTCGACATAGTTCAACGTGATGAAATTTACTTTCTGTATGAAATATCGTTTAATTATCACATATCCTTTTTCCCCCTTTTTTTTTCCAGAACAGAAGCAACGCATGTTTCACCGAGAATGCATTCCATTTGACGTTAGAAATGTTTGGCAGTATAATCGACTTGTGATTGACGAATCCAGGCCAAAGCAATCTTTGCTGCTTTTGTCCCCATTGATCAATCAAACGATTCCAGATATTTGCAACGAAAACTGGAATTCGCCTTGAAAGCCCTATCACACGATACATCTGAATGATGATTGCAATTATTAATGGCTAAATAAAATTCCATGCTATCTATAATAATTTTATCGATTCTAAAACATCTTTAGTTCATTTAAAATTTCATATACACGACTTTTCGATTTTGCGCGTCCGTGATATATATTTAATGCGTTGTTTAAAAAGTCTGCTCTTCGATGTTATTTTTGATTTGCAATTATCACGAATAATCTTTAATGGAACATTTTTAATCGGCAAAGATAAATATCGCTATTTTCCTCATCTACTTTCTCAATGTCGATGATATCTTATTTATCGAAAAGAATGCGATATCAAAGAAATACACTTTCTATAATGTGATAATATTTATTTTATCTCGCATATCGGCAAAAATCAATGAGAAAAGAAAATATCCATTTCTATGTAGAAATGCATTTGGCGGGCGCACGTCATCGTTTAACGCTAATGTACATATGTTGTCATCGCGCCATTATTACAATCCAATTTCGTCGCGATAATCTTCTCGTCACTTAGCATAATGGAAATTTGTAAAATTGTCGGCGTAATTTATCGAACGAATCCGAATCGAAGCGTAAGAAACGGGGACACCTGGACACACGGCATTAATAATTCAAACGAGCACGTACTCGAATGCGCGACGTACGTTCACGAATCGCGATCGTTCTTAATCCGCGTAGATGTTACATCTTAATTCATCGCGCGTATATCCGTTATCGAGTCACGGAGCTAAATCGCTTAGCGGTTTTGCCACAATTATCTCGGGCCTTCCGCGAGACTGATTGATGATAGTACTTATCGCGTGGCGAATAAAGCTCCGCTTGTCATTGAAGCTCCTATTTCGCGTTCTTCGCGTGTTCGAAAATTACGACACGTACATACGTAACGCACGAGGCGAGATAAATCGAATGCATTAGCCTCGGCCGTTTCTTTTGCGCGATCTCATTGTTTATCTATAATTTTAAATAGATAAATGGATAAATATATATATGGCCCCGATATTTCTTTGTGTGCGTGCGTGTATATGTGCGTTCGATTTTTGCAAAATAATCGCGATTACGCGAGATATCGGATACAGAAATAAGGCAAGAATTCAGGCGCGTATCCACGTGTCCGCTTGTCACACTTATTCTTCGAAGGGCTTCGGGATTTCGTCAGATCCTTTTGACAATCGCGTGTCGAGACTACCTGCCTGCGCGCGCGAAAATGGCGGCGGTTTCCGGTCGAGCTTATGCGCAGTTTCAAATTGCAAATCTCACGCGTGGCGACATCTCCCGATATAATGTATCGATTACCAAGTAAAATTGCCGCTTATTAACGGTAGATAAAACGGTAGATAAAACGGTAGAATTGGATCTAAAAGGATTCGAATTAAAAAATGTAATATTTTTAGTGGGGATGCAAAAAAGAGGATATCTTTCGCGTTAATTACTAATTTTATAACCCACAGACACATGGATAACATGAAAACAAACCATCCATTCGTCTCACTTGGCGACTGAATATATTGAGCAAACAAACGCAGGTATTTCGTTTGATAGAATAAAAGAACATACTTGTCGTTGTAGATTTAATTATTTCGTCCATATATTTTGTCGCGATGTCAAATTAAGACCTTTCTGACTCTTGCTTGATTTATTTGCGACGCATTTCACGCGTGTGTACTTACATCCGAGTTCACAACACGAAGCGTTCGTAGAGGGGGAATGAATAATGAATGACAAATATTCGGAGTTTGCGGAAGATTCGGAGGAGCCATCCATTACGTCGTCGGATCCAAACGAGCGGAAATTAGCGCGCCGGATTCGTATTCAGCGACGTCTAGAAGCGTTAACTAAGTATGTTTTCTTTTTTTTTTGCATTTGATTAATTACATCGCCCTACCCAAGTCGCAAACTGAATGTCAAATATCGCTCTTCTTACTCCTATATATTTTTGTGACATTTTTAATTATTTCAATAATTTCTTCCTATAATTCAAAAATATAATACGATCCGCTTGTCGTGTAAATCAATTTATATTGTAATACTGAAATTATGTACATTTTTGCAATGTTAAAAAAATTGGGTAAAATGACACAGTTGTTTTCTTGCAGAAAAACAGGTCCTGAAGATGAAGAAATTGTCGAAAAGACGCCTATCGAGAAGCAAATATTTGCTAGTTTTGAAGTCTTGGAAAAATTATCGGTGGAAGGAGATGAAGTGGTTGGTCTAACAAATATGTATTTTATATATATTTTACATTGATATTTTTTTAAATACACTTATAATGTATATATGTCTTATTGATATCAAAGAAATATTAGATTAAACGCGATTTCATCAAAATGTGTAGGTATCTTGCGTGAAAGTCGCAAACGATGCTAGAGAACTACAACGACGAAGGGAAGAGCAAAAAATCAGAAGAGAGTTGCTTAAAACACTCGAAGAAGACGAACAGGAATGCATGAAAAGATACAAGGAGATCAATGCAAAATGGTCGAATATTCTTGCGTCTAAAGATCCGTTAGATATACACGCGGAAATGGAAGCTCAAAATGCCAAGTGTTTGGAAATTATGGAGAGGAAAGATGCTGTCATTGCACAATTGCGACAGGAATTGGAAAACGCTGACCTCAAATTTGTTAATGACCAGAAAAATCAGAACGAAGATATAGATTTATTGATCAATAGAATGGACAATCAAGTTAGATATATATATATTTTTTAGAAGTACTTTAATCAGATAAATATATAATTGAAGAACTTGTATATTTTATTTAGATGAACATCATGGCCAAAGCTTATCGTCGCGAATTATCCCTCATCGATGACGTAATCGAATCAGAGCGTAAAGTGTTGCTGCACCATATCACGGAGAAATGGGAAGCGTTGTATAAAAAGTTACAGGAGGACAGTCTCGCGGGATTAGATAGACGAAAAGAAATAATGCGCGAATATGAAGAGGAGATGAAGAGAGTCATAATCGAACATCAGGAAGAATTTCGGGCTCAAAAGATCAGTTTTGAACTTGAGATTCAAAAGCTTCGACAAGAAGTACAGAACACGAAAGCGTTGTGTTTTATGAATATTGAAAAATTGGACTACAGCTACGCCGTGCTTAAACAACGAGAAGACGAAAATGCTATAGTAAAAAATCAACAAAAAAGAAGAATCAATAAGTCAGTATTAAATAGACTTAATTTAGAAATTTAGAAATTAATTAATTCCAAGTTGATTCTTTTAGACTCCAAGATGTTATCAATAATCTGAAAAAGAATTACGCAGAGTTGGAAGAAAATACGAGACTCGAGATACAAAGACTTACCGATCAAGTCATAAAAGCACATAAAAATATTTTGGATTTAGTGGAAAAGTCGAATCATTTTACGAGCGTTAATGATAAGAAATATATGCAAATTTGGGACATGAATGCGAAAAATGCGAATGAATTGCTCGATAAGGTACGCATGCATTAAACTTTTCGACAGTATTGATATTAAGTCAATAACGTATTTCAGATTTTAAATATTGACAAAATTATATATGAACAAGCGTTGGGCCTGGAGTGGGACCCACCTGAGAAAACCTTACTAGAAAAAGAAGATCTGCCATCTTATCGTAATGTGATGTGCACTATAGAAGAAGGTAGCACGATTGATCCTATTTTAATTGATTTTACATTCAATTTTCTTGTCGCATACATGCTAGCATTTTTTAAGAAAATAGAATGGCTGACGAGAAAAAAGCAATATGTAAATCTTACAAACCGGCAAATACTATCGAAGAAATCAATCTAGAAAGACGATTATTGAATCACATCATAAAGCAAATCGCTGATTGTTGCGATTATCTGATTGAAAATAAATTGCTCGAGTTGCTTTTACCTTACACTGCAAAGGATCAGCTAGTTATACGATTAGATAATGTGTTTCAGGTAAATATGACATTCTCTTTTTTCTATTTTTTTTATTTTATTATATTTTCGTGTATTATTAGGCACTGAACATAAAATCCGAAGAGGAGCTTGGCTTCCTTTTAAATTTTTTTCTACCGTACGCGTATTGTCCAACATGTAGCAAAGATATAAGCAAATCTATTTGTGAAACTCCTCCTCCTCCAAAAATGGAGTATGTATAATAAATATGATTATATAATCAAATAATGTACAAAATAATCTCTTGTGAAAGCAAAATGTATTATTTGAGATATTAGCGTTGAACAGTTAGACATCTGCGGAGTTGCCGAAGAATTTACGGATGATGAAGCTAAATTGATTGCCGACGTGAGGGAAGCGATCTGTGACGAGAAACTATCTAGTCCCAGCGTAATAAGTAGTTCATCTCAAAGTTCTCTAACTGAAACATTACTTCCTCTTGCGGAACGCACGTCCACTTCTTTTGCATCTATTAGCGATATTGTCAAAGGTCTACTTTTGAATTTGGCTAAGAATTAGGAGAATTCCATATTGTACAATGAAATAATGATATTAATTTTTTTTGCTTTCATTTACAGATGACGATCAGATGCAACAACGCTTATTGTGCGACAAAGGACACTTGCTTGAAATTGAAACTATGTTTGTCACTAAAGCTTTACGGGAATTTGTAGAAAGATATCATTTTGTTAAATGGAAAGAGCCACAAGCTTTCCAAGAAAAATTAATAGAGAAAAAAACAGTCATATCTCGAAATATGACAATTCAGGATATAACAAATTTTTGGAAACGATACACTGAAATTTTTCCATCAAAAAAAGAACGACTTTGGGATGGCTTATTGATTGGACTTAAAAAATATCATAAAGTGTTAAAAGAAAGACATCAATTAAATGTCGAAATGAAATCTTTACGAAGGCAAAATGCGGAATTACGACGTTTATTGAAAACATATATAATCCAGGTAATGTTAGAAAAAAATACATGAATATGTTTATACACTAAATATCACATTACACTGAAAAATGTTTGAAAAAGTATCATCTTGCATTTTTTTTAGCCTGAGGATGTTGAATCATCACAAGATGATACACAATCTGTTTGCGGCAACATTTAAAATGCAAATATAATATTTATGCACAAATTAAACTTACTTTATGTCTAAATAAATTTAATATATAATTCTCAACATGAGAGACGATGATATAATGTAAATATACATATATATTATATCACTATATATTTGCGATATTTTTCATGATTCTTGTGTAAATTGTGATAGTTGAGACTAATGAATTACAACTTTCACTGCTCGATGAGATTAACATCAATATCAATATGATTTATTAAAGCATATTAATATATATTTGTTTGTTTTCTTATATGTATTATTATCTATCTAGATATATATACACATGTACATATATATGCATGTATATATATATGTATATATATAGTATATATATATATATATAGAAATTTATCTTTCTTTTTCTGTTTAAAACAGTTTTCTATCATTAAAGAACAGCATTTTATTCATTTAAAAAGAATTTGCAGAAACTCAAACTATAAACATGCATAGCCTAAAATTTTAATTGATAGAATATTAAAAATAATCTTTTAGTATATTATATATATATATAATATATATAATTCAATGTAAAATATGCAAGTTTTATATATCTTATGGTTGATATGTAAGACCGCCTGATACAAAGTTGTTTGACAAGGATGGTATTTGACCTTTGGGAGTTGCATTTCGTTTTGTTTTTTTCCAATATGGAACATATCTTTTCTTATTCGGATTCTTAGATCTTCTCACTTTGTCAGCATGTTTCTCCGAATTCATATGCTGCAAATACATAAACGAACAATTTTATATATATGATACATTATGGTACATTTTCAATATAATTATACAAAATGATGTATCTCTAAAGAATTTATGGAGAAATATCATGTTTATGCCAAAGTGAAAGAGTAAAAAAATATTTGTGCATTATTGCATTAAAATAAAACATTAGGCGTGCATATACATATATATATATATATATAAAATTATTGTACCACACTGTATTGAGATTGAGAGTTGAAGAACTTGTTACAAATATCGCAAGAAAGTGAAACTCCTTTTGTGGGACTGGATTGTTGAGAGCTACCAGTTGATGATGCCAACGCGATGCCTTGGGTGACAACCTCTTTGCCATCCCATTCACCTAAGCATCAATGTGCGATCAACACTATCTATGTATCACAACCGCAAAAGCGGTAATTTGTGATAATAAATCAGCTTGAACACTACATTCATGCTATAAAAAGATTGATCATTAATGAGTGTGTAATATTAAATGGAATATATAATTATTAAAATATACGTTTCTGTAACATGTAAAAAAAATTAAACTTTATTTTAGTACAAAAATATTCCATTAATTTACAAACTTTTTATAGCAATGTAAAGAATTATCATTGAATATTACAATCTATATATATATAATATTTATCAATAATAATAATTTTTACATAGTTTTTGTGTTTTTTATATCATGATTGGTTTACAATTCATATTTTAAATTTTTTGTTGAATGTTTCATGTATATTTATATAATAATTAGTTTCATATATAATATGAAACTAATGTTTCACATATAATATGAAACTAATATGAACTAAATAATAAATAATCATTTTTTATTGTGTTTTGAAAAATTAAGTTGCAAATTAGGAAAATATATACAACGCCATTGTGTTATAAAAGTTTAATAATTTGTATCATTTGTTGTTCTAGTTTATTTTCCATCGTGCAATATATTTTATATAAGGTAGTCATTAAAAAATAACAAGAAAATATTTCTATAATACAGTAATATTAAATAAAAAAAAGTAATACATATATGTGTAATATTTGTACAGAAAGATTTTGAGAAGAATAGTCAACTAAATTTAGTTTATTAAATGTAACATGTATGCAAATTGTCGTGACCAATTGCTTTTCACGATGACATGTTAATAAACAAATAAATAATAAATATACAAATATTACTTATATTTCAATAATCATTAAATATTAAATAAATAGTAATAATAAATAACGCATAATAACAACAGATTTGCAATGATTACTAAGCGCTTACTAAGCACTGAAATTGTGTAACAATAAAAGAATGGCAAGCAAGTTAATTTCACATAGTTAGTTTATAGAAAGAAATGAAAAGCAAAAGTAAGCAGCAGCGTCAAGCATGCAAAAGCGAACAATACTAAACTATAAACCAATACAACAGTATTTTTTTCTATTTTATCCAGATACATGAAGCGATTATTTTTAAGACCATACGGCAGTGTTTTTCTTACCATAAAGGATTTATTATTACCTCTCATTAATTTTTTTTTATGACGGCTTCCTGCAAATATATATATTTTATTATAATACTGCAATAATTTACAAATCTTATATATTGCAGTCGATTTATATATCGCAAGGCGATATTTTATATTTATTACCATTAAGATGTGTTTGCAATTGCTGAATAGAGTTGAGGCACACATTACATACATTGCATTTGAGCCCGTTTGTTTCTTCATCCTTTGTAAATGAAATCTTTGTTTCTTCAAGTGTTGCCATTATATTCTTAGATCTTACCTGTGAAATGGTAACATGGAATAATATATATTTGCTTTGCCTGTATAATACACATTATATACATTTGTTATTATTACTAACCTGTTTAGCATGACGTGCACCTTGTAAGTGTGTATCCAATACTGCTTGACTTGTGAAGGAAAGGTCACAGTCTTCACAACGAACGAGAGGTTTTTTCGTGGGCAGATTACCCATTATATTATCAACCACTGCTTTTGTTACAGGATCATCGAGATTGGTGTTCATAACATCCTCTGATGGTAGAGCCATTTTTCTAATAAAAATATATTAATTAATTAAATATTAAAAGAATATAATGTTAAACGAATCTCGAGTCAAAGATGACATATTTGATTAACGAATCGAAAATGATACAGACAAGATTGAAAACATGTACCGAACGAACATCAAAAACTAAGAATCTTTATAAATATTAATCATTTTAATAAATGATTACGCCTCTTACAACGTACCGTCGTATGAGAGCTTTATCTAATCCGTAAAGGTTTTTCAGTCTTGTTAACTTACAATAACACAATTATTGCCTATGCTACGTGTAATAATTATAAAATCTCGAATATAATTCGATTATTAAACACAAAATTATGCAAATATAATATTACCGTTACAATCCTGTTCGGTGTAAAGCGTATCGTGTAAGCCGCTGTTATGGGTACACAAATATTTTTTGCACTCGGCTCTTGCCGAGCGTGAATACCGTGTAAATATATACCGTTCTTTGAAATCACACTCACTGTCCTCGAATAGCACGGAATAATGACAACGCGCGACCTACAACACCGTCTGTCTTTTATAGCTACACCTCTACTATACTTTTCATCTCTCTCTTCTCTTCTCCCTAATTGTACATCTATTTCGCTTTAAGTGCAAAAAGGGTAAATAGCGCAGAGCTCCGAGGCACCATAAACCTATAAGCATGGAGATTGCCTATGAGACGACCAATGAGAAGCTCTCGTTTCATTACGGCACGGCTATTGGCCCTACGATGATTGCGATGTCCACGTTCGCGAATTTTACAAATTTTCAAACGTCATGTTCGTTATGTCACATGTATAATAGAGCTCGTATCGAAATTTAGATGATTAATAGTAACTTTTATTAATATTTTAATACATCGGAAAATGCGATGCATCGTTGAGCCTTCGTATTACGATTGTAGCTATTAAATGACATAAAAATCTTCTCGCCGATCGCGTTATGCGAGAGCAGAAAATATTGAAATATTTCGCCACATTTTATTGCCATGAATTTATCAGCATTTCCTACACGTTTATACGATTTATTGCACGAATATAGATTGTTTTATAGTTTACGATCTTATCTATGAAAACGTCATACGATGCGTAAGATTCGTCCAATCATCGCGAATAATTGGCGAATATCGCGGTTCGATGCGGCCTAAAGACAACAGCCAATTAGAAGTCTGGCTTTTACGTACGGTCTGACGGCAGTGGGCGCGTGTGCGTATGCGCTCATATAGGTGCTCGTCGCGAAATATAGTAGCAGCCATCTTATATTTTGTGTCGGAGAAAAACAATTTGACCGTACAAATGTTTCGCGATTGCCCGTGAAGCCGCTCGACGACGGGAGGCGGTGCGCTCGATGAGGCGCGACGTTTTTCGACCCTAGACCCGGACCACTACATTAGCAAAGGTACGTAACGAACGACGATCGCTCGAATCCTCTCCTACGGAGACGCACAACACATCCCCTCCCCATCCCTCACTCGCGGCCCCCGCTCGCGAGGAATCCGGTTCCGCCGTGAAAATATATTTCGACGTTTCTCCATCGTCGCTCTTTTAAAAATAGAGCGGCTCGCGTCACCGGGCTGAACGTCTCTTCACGACGGCGTTGCGCCGTGCACGACGGCATCGCCGTAAAAGTTATGCAATCAGCTGATCGTTTGGCTACTCTCTGTCACTTGTCAACGATAAATGTCAAAGCGTCTCGGTATAACCTGACATAACCGTACGCGCGCGACAGCCAATCGCGATAATAATCGCGCGTAGCTTATTTCGGGGCGTGTATCGCTACTCTAGATTCTTGTTTTTATCCAGGTGGATTGGTACGCAGGATATGAGCAGTTTGTCAAGCGCAACCTGACTCTGCTCCCCCATCAGCAAGCGGCGCAGCAGCAGCAGGACGAGCAGTCTCAGCAGCTGGCTCCACCGCAGCAGACTGATATAATGACGTCTATGTTCGAACAACAGATTAAGAGCGAACCCATGGGGTTCTATTCTGTTGCTTCCAGTCGTTCGGATGGATCCAACTCTATAGTGAATTTGTCCGATGATCGAGAGGACCTCTCTCAGCAAGAAGGTCATTTGCAGCCCCAGCAGCCGACGTTACAGTTGAATCAGCAGCAAAGCCAGCAGCAGAGTCAACAACAGACGCAACAGAATCAGCAACAGCAAAATCAGGGTATGCAGCAGGACTCGCCCGGTCGTCAGTCTACGGGTCAACAGACCGTCAAGGAGGGCTCACGGTCGAAGCCTCAACCTTGCAAAGTTTGCGGCAAGGTACTGTCTTCTGCTTCGTCCTACTATGTGCATATGAAACTTCATTCGGGGAATAAGCCCTATCATTGTACGGTATGCGAGGCGAGTTTTTGTCGCAAACCTTATTTAGAAGTACACATGAGGACGCACACGGGCGAACGACCCTTTCAATGTGAGCTATGTTTGAAAAGGTTTACTCAAAAGAGCAGCCTCAATACTCATAAACGGGTGCACACGGGGGAACGGCCGTATGCATGCGACATTTGCCAGAAACGTTTCGCTGTGAAGAGCTACGTCACGGCGCATCGTTGGAGCCACGTAGCCGAGAAACCGCTGGTTTGCGAACGATGTTCCCTCACGTTCACGTCCAAAAGTCAATTTGCGATTCACATCCGTACACACACCGCCAGTACCACTTACGAGTGCAATATCTGTGGACGTACGTTCGTACGTGACAGTTATCTGATAAGGCATCAAAATCGGGTGCATCGTGACATGAATCAGAGCAGCTCGAATCACAATCCGCCGACGCCGCAGAGTAGCGGCGCCGGCACTCCGGGCACCGGTTTCGAGAGTCCGGTCTGTGATTTGCGCTACAGCGAGGGACCCTCGTCATTGGATGGTCTCGCGGGAGCCAAGGGCACGGGCATAGCCGCGGAGATCGCTAGTTTAGCCAAGCAGAACAATCTACAGCTTCCACTACCGCTGCTACATCCGCAGACCACCAACTAGTGTTTAGATGGCAGCAACATCGTCACCCAGCCCCTGCCGCAACACCAATCACCGCAGCAAGTAGTATGTCCCACCTCGGCGTCTTCGCCGTTCACACTTAACTCACCTATGTCTCACACCGAGCACACGAGCACACCGCAGAGTGTCTACCAAACGATGAGCTCCTCCAATCCCTTGGACAGCTCCAGTTCCCAACTCTATCCGCCCTTGTCGTCCCCTCTAGACCCGACATCGGAGCCACAACATTCGCATCATTCGCACCAGCTGCATCGCGGCATCCCTCCGCCAGGTCTTCACCCCGCGCTCTATTTGTACGCTCATTACTCGAATACGAGCCCCGCGATCTCGTATTCGGAATATATTCAGCGTAACAATTGAACGCGAGTTTTCATCTAGCATCGATCGACTTTCAACGATTGTACGATAATATCAGTAAACCTGGTGCTATTTAATCGGCTGATCAAAGTGCCTATCGAGCATCCTATATACTTCCGATTCGTAACAACGGATGCTCGCTCGTCACTCGGTTTAGGGGTATGCTTTTGATCAAACAGGTGTACGACGACACAATTGATCAATTGTAATTGCTGCTCGAAAAAAGAAAAGAACGTTTGCTAATACTTTGTGTTCATCTAATGAATTTTATACTCAAGAGCATCTTTTTTAACACGAGATTGAATAGCACCCGCTCGAGGCGCGGTTTCCAATCGCCAAGCGATCAGATCGTACCGACATACAACTATGTATATATATATATACATATATATATATATATCGTTCCAATGATTCAATCATTATGCACGATGCTAGCTGAAATCGAAGCGTGTAACATTTCTAAGTCTCCACAATTTCGGCACTCTTATTTCGTCTGATTTTTATAATCACATCTCTGCGAGTATACATATACATATATACGTGTGTGTATATATATATTATGCGTGAACCATTACACATACACACACATACACGTACACATATTTATATTATATTTTTAAAGGAGTTTAGTCACTTGGATCTGTGATATAGATAGTAATTATTATCTACAATGTTTAAACTATTGGTTTACACTATTTTCATGAATATCAAAAGGAGGGAAAAGGAAAAGCAATGTCACGGAACGAAATTTTATCTACTTTGGTTTCTACCGAAGATGTTTGGTAGACACCCTACTATTAATTTTACAACAGTAGTAACAACAACACTATATAGGCTAATGCCTGTGTCTCTCATTGTCACTCTACTATTATTCTAACTAATCCTACCACCACCACGTCTATCACCACCACCGACATTTCCCCAACTATATATTACTATCACTATTATTACGACTATTACTATATTATCATCGCCACTATTACTCTACTGCTATTATGTACTACTAAGCTATTAAACTATTATCATTAGCGCTAGGAATACACACACCCCACACACACACACACACACACACACACACACACACACACACACACACACACACGCACGCGTTTATTTCGCCAATCACGTGTAGCGCATTCGATCCGTCACATAGTCGTCATGGTTTCTCTTTAGCTTGAAACGCGCTACGAGAATTCCTTATGTTGCTTTTCTCTTTTAGATCATAGAACGTTTATCCCTTCGCAACGTTAGTGGATACATTCGTTGTGACGCGGTGCGCGTTTTTGTGATAAAAAAATGGTTCTTCGTTAGAGGATAGAGCACAGCTTTGAATCAGTTCTATAGTTGTACTTACTTTCCACATATCGAAGTGTGTGTACAAATATATTGTATATATACATATACGACGTACGGATGTATTATAAAGCGGAAGTAGTAGAGGGTGCGAGTCGTAAATGGAAAAAAAAATCTTCTATTACGTAAAAGGCGCAATAGGCTGTTGATTCTTCGCGAATATTGTCTTAGAGCTATTAGTTTATTATTATCTCCTGTTCTTACTAACGTCGTTGCAATCGTCTGTGCAAGCGCGAGGGAACCATGACAACCGCGCGTATAGAGCTGGAGAAGTAGTTTCACTAAGTGCACATCTTATATACGATTATCATTTTTGAGTAATCGATCTAAGATAGTTGCGACTACGTGTAAATGCAATTCACCCATTATTAAATGCGCGTTAGATAGAGCTACGAAGATACACAAATCGAACAAGAAAGCTATATATATTTGCGCTAGTGTGCCTCTCGAACCCCCTTGTATCGTGGTTCTCTCTTTTTTCTCCTCTCTCTTTCTATCTCTCTCTTTCTCTCTTTCGATTTAATTTTCACATCGTAAAATGATCAAAATGATCCTGCGCGCGTATGCCTGAGGCTTTCGATTTAAAGAGTATGCAAAGTCACACCTGGGTAAGACTGATTTTTACTGTAATGGACTGTCAGATACGAAAACGTTTATTCTCTTTTTTTTCTCTTTTTCTCTCTTGTTCTATATACTTACTCTCTCTTTTCTTTCTAATTGCTGTTTCTAATTGAAAGGAGACGCATGTAAGCGCGCTGAGGAAGGATGCGATAAAATCTTTCATTAATAAAAAAGAGCCGCGTAAAACATTTTTGGATGACAAAATCAGTTACATAATTGAAAAATTATTACTTAAATTTTCATTGTTCTATTAATTAAATATATCGTAGTTAATTCATTAATTACAACTGATCACATTAATTAAAATTTAATAAGCGATTATTAAATAAATCATACGTAAAATCAAAGATAAAACCGTGAATGCATAACTTTTGATTCACGATCAATTGAGGAACGAGATATAATAAGAGAAAAACAATTGATCTTTTTATCGGCTAGTCATTGGGCAGCTCTGCGAGATATTAATTATACTATTAAAGCTGTGATTAAAGCCTCCGTGCATATGACTGCGCAGCTCATAATTATAGCGGTATATATATATATACATATATATATATATATATATATATATTTTGTAGCTTATTATAAATATGTAAAGTAAAAAGTAGATAGATTAGAGACATCTCTAAAAATCGCAATCGATCGATTAATCATAAACTTCGATCTCCTTCTCTTTTTTTTCGTTTTAACTATACATGTTCGCAGTGTTGGGCAAAAAAAGACATATATTTAGACATCGTATGTGTCATTTAGGATAATTACACACACGTGAGAATATTTAAAGAGTGTTTTATACAAGCGCGCGCGTATAGGCTGCGAGGATTTATGTTTTATAAATTTTTATATAATCGTCATACTGTTTGAAATAGAGATTTTGTTTTCAGGCAGCTAATTTTATCTTATCTAACTATTCTAAACCGATATCTCTCAGAGTATATTAATCTGCGAAATGTCAATTGATGTTTACGCTGCACATAATTTATTACCAGTATTCAAACGCAGATTTAATTTATATTACTTAAATGTTTAAAGAAAAGATAATGTACGAAGTACATTTATTTGATTAAAAAGGCTTTAATTTAAGAATCTACGTTCCTAAACGTTAAGGATGGAATTGCACAAAAAACCGGCGATTACTTTTTAAAATTTTATATCAAATTAATTTCGCAATCTAAGGAGTTTATTTACCAAAAGCAACAATCTCCAGTTTAGAAAATTATAATTGAAAATTAATTGAAAATTATAATTACGTTTCTAAATAAACGTAATCGATAAATTTTAGCCAAGATTGTAATTTGCGTCCTAAAAATGTAGTGAGATTTTAGCTATGTTATTCAATACTTAGTATACAAACTATTTCAGACAGTATATCGCATACGTATAGACTATATGTATGTATTTTTAGGATATTGCCCAGCACTGAGATTATAATCGAAACTTCCGAATCGGTAATAACGATCTCACGCTACAACATCGATTGCTTTTCCATGCGACGTATTTGAGTTCGTGGCATGTATATCAAAAAATATGTATTTTCGTAAGAAGAGGGCACAAAATATAGGTCCTTTCTTCAAGAGAGCACTCGTCGGACCAATACATATGTACATATAAAAAAGTGATAAAAATGAAAAAAAGAAAAAGACGTTCCGTGGCGCTTCTAAAGTGCAAAATACGTCTGCAAAAAGTGCTATACTTATTATACACGGCAAACGAATATTCGTTGTAAAAATGCGCGAACGTGAGATGCACATTTCTTTATTCATTTTTTTTTTTTTTTTTTTTTTTCGTTTTTATTGATTGCTCTGTTTATAGATCTTTTTAATCCTCTAACTACCGAATAGAATTTCGATGCTTCTTGTGAGCACGAAAGATTTTCTTTTATTATTTATTATTAAGTATTTAAAAATAATTTTCTTTGTTTTTTTCTTTATGTGTGAAATGAAACGTCATGAGTTAAATCGATAAGTTACAAATCTAGAATCCGTATTTGTATCAAAGATTTCATCTGCGATGTTTGACTGAATCGTCTTGAGATGATTGATATCAAAAGTTCGAGAATGTAATATTGACTCTGTTCTACTTTTCTCCTGTCCGTGACTAAAATAGGCTCGCGCTAGTTTATTTTAGTTCTACGGTTGATATTCCGTCACATAATGTTCTTGATTATTTCCGGTAGTTGGAAAATCGATTATCATCGTAACAGAGATATCGCATCGCTTCGTACTGATTCATCATTCTCCACTTTGCATTACAATGTCAGAGAGCAATCTACTATGCTACATTGACGATATGATTTTGTAAGATCGATTTTACCGTAGCAAGTCTACGAAAAATTGGACGAAAGGGTATATTTTACCCTGATTATAACATATTGAGGACGCGAGAACGTGATAAGTAATGTCACTAATCGCACGTAAGAACGAAAAGGACGACTCGTGTCACACGCGGACGTGTAATTTCGAAATTTATTATATAAAAGCACTTTGTGTACATAATGTATAATCAGTAAAGGAATCAAAAGACGTATTGCGCTATGAGACGTGAGCTTCTACGTAGAATATAATTCAAGTTACCGCTTATATATTTCAAGATGATTTTTACGAATATTGATGAGATTGCAAACAAGAAATGATTTTTACGCTACGCGGGTTTCATGCGAATAATAATAGTTGGATTAATAACTATCAAGTCGCAATAATGAACACGTTCAGCTGAAAAGAAAACTGTTGTGTGTTTAATACTCGAGATTATTTGATGCATCAATTACGTTCGATTATTGCTTAGCGTTCGCGCATATTACTGTTTCAGCTGAACACGACCAATATTTACAGTGATATCATTAAGAGATACACATACGGTTGACTTTTTTAAAAATTACAGGTATTCTCTCTCAATGAAAATTTTTAATCACACATAAAAATCGATAAACGATTATAAAAATACATATATATGGTTTTATATTTTATTATAATCAATTATAATTGCACTCTAGTGTCATGAGACACAACGATTATATTCCAAGTGTTAATTTTCGATTGACAAAATATTAGCAAATAATCATATGAAAAATATGGAATATTTTTATTTTGTGACAACAAAATATTCGTCTTGAGTAATATAAAGAAATATGGAAGAAATATACGTAGTATTATGTATATAAGGAAGATAGTCTCTTAACTATCTCGCATTATTCAAATTATTTGCAAACATTTACTTTATTACATATATATTCTTAATGCTATATGCAAAACGTATCTATGTATAAACGAATATTTTGACAATATATTTTGATAATGATATTGATTATGATGTATATATTTTACGAGTTTCCGTAAAAAAATGTATCATACGTGAAAATTGGCTGTTCAGATTTACGCTGTGATTTTATTTTTTATTATATTAATTTACATTAATAACAGCATTACTCTATTAAGAAATTTTATTTGAGATTGAGTGCACAAAGCTAATATTTATATTTATTTTAAAAAGATGAGAATGATGAAAATTTTTTCATCATTATTTTCACATTAATTTAATAATCCATATCTTGTGATTAAATCTCAA